AAGAATCATTGCTGTGGTGCTCCACTGGTACTGCTGGTAGAGGGTAGTGTGCTCCAGTCCAGCTGAGCTCTCATGGGCCTATAAGTTGAGGACTTTATGATTTCTGTCAACCCATAAAACCTTATTACTGAAGCACGGTTTTTCAAATTTTAAAAATTCTCTGTCTAGTGTTGGATTTTTAGGTGGCTGTCTAGAAATTTTCTCCAATAGAAAACAGATCAATGTTTCCTCTTAATGTTTTTCATGCCTGACAAGGAAAAGCCACTCTCCCAGCTCAATGCTCAGTTAGTGTAATTTTTACCACGTTCTGTCCCCAAATGGTGTTTTAACTTAAATATACCCTTATATAATGACACGCAGTTGAGTGAAAATTAACCAACTCATATCGTATAAAAGAATGTGGTCTTCATGCTCCAAGAGTTGACTGAGAGAGCAAAGGTTATGGAAGACATGCAGGACCCTTGTACTCATGTCAGATTATGACATATTATAAATGCATGCTCTCATGCCATGGTGCAACTGAGCCCACGCGCCACAACTACTGAGCCCACGTGTCTCAACTAGAGAGCCTGCGTGAGGCAAACTACAAAGCCCACACGCTCTGGAACCCACACGCCACAACTACAGAGCCCAAGTACCCTGGAACTCGTGCACAACTAGAGAGAGAAAGCCCACACACCACAGCTAGCGAGAAGCCCACGCGCCGCAACAGAAAGAGCCCGTGTGCCGCAACAAAGATCCCCACGTGCCACAATGAAGACCTGACGCAGCCAAAAAAGAAAAAAGTTAAAAAAAAGAAAAATGCATGCTCTCCACACATCAGTGTCTGCTGCCTACATTTTTAAATAACTGTGATATAAAAAAAAAAAAAAAAAACTGTGATATAAAATTCTATAGGTCTTTTTCCACTCATGAATACTTGACATTTTTCAACATTATTACAAGTTCCTTGTAAATATTTTTAATTGAGATATAACTGACATATAACACATTAGTTACTGGTATACAATACAATATATGTATATTTTGTGAAATGATCACCACAATAAGTCTAGTTAACATCTGTCAACTCATGTAGTTACAATTTTTGTTTCTTTTGATGAGAACTTTTAAGATCTACTCTCTTAGCAACTCTCAAATACACGATACAATATTATTGACTACAGTCACCCTGCTGTACATTACATTCCCAGGGTTTCTTTATTTTACAACTGGAAGTCTGTACCTTTTGACCACCACCAATTTTGCCCACCCCCCCGCCTCTGGCAACCACCAATCTGTCCTCTGTATCTATGAGTTCAGTGTTATGGCAGGATTTCCTTCTTTTTATTTCTGAATAATACACACACACACACACACACACACACACACACAATCTTCCTTATCCATTCATCCATTGATGGACACTTAGGTTGCTTCCATGTCTTGGCTATTGTAAACAATGTTGTAATAAACATAGGGGTACAGATATCCTTTTCAGTTAGTGCTTTTGTTTCCTTCTGATAAATACCCAGAAGTGGGATTGCTGGGTCATAAAGTAGCTCTATTTTTAATTTTTTGAGGAACCTCCACACTGTCTTCCATGGTGGCTGCACCAATTTACATTCTGAACAACTGGGTACAAGGGTTCCCTTTTCTCCACACCCTCATCAACACTTGTTTTTCTGTTTGTTTTAAAAAAAATTATCTATTTATTTTTGGCTGCGTTGGGTCTCTGTTGTTGGGTCTTCGTTGCTGCGCACTGGCTTTCTCTAGTTGTGGCGAGCGGGGGCTTCTCTTCGTTGTGGTGCACGGGCTTCTCACTGCAATAGCTTCTCATTTCAGAGCTTGGGCTCTAGGTGTGCGGGCTTCAGTAGTTGCGGCACGTGGCCTCAGTAGCTGTGGCTCGCACACCCTAGAGCGCAGGCTCAGTAGCTATGGCGCACGGGCTTAGTTGCTCCGCGGCATGTGGGATCTTCCCGGACCAGGGCTTGAACCCGTGTCCCCTGCATTGGCAGGCAGATTCTTAACTACTGCGCCACCAGGGAAGTCCAACACTTGTTATTTCTTGTCTTTTTGATGATAGCCATTCTGACAGGCAATATCTTATTGTGGTTTTGATTTGCATTTCCTTGATGATTAATGATGTTTAGCACCTTTTCATGTACCTGTTGGCCATCTGTATGTCCTCTTCGGAGAAATGTCTATTCATATCCTCTGCTCATTTTTTCATCAGATTTTTTTTTCTGTTGTGTTGTGTGAGTTCTCTATATAATTTAGATATTAACCCCTCATCAGATATATGATTTGCAAATATTTTCTCCCATTCTGTAGGATGCCTTTTCATTTTGTTGATGGTTTCTTTAACTGTGCAGAAGCTTTTTAGTTTGATGTAGTCCCACTTGTTTACTTTTGCTTTTTTGCCTTTGCTTTTGGTGTCAAAGCCAAAAAAACACTGCCGAGACCAATGTCAAGCACCTTACCACTTATGTTTTCTTCTAATTTTATGATTTCAACTCTATGTTCAAGTCTTTAATCCATTTTGAGTTGATTTTTATGTATGGTGGAATATAGTGGTCCAGTTTTCCCAACACCATTTATTGAAGACTGTCCTTTCCCCATCGTATATTCTTGGCTCCTCTGTCATAAATTAATTGCCCATGTAAACATGGGTTTACTTCTGGGTTCTCTATTCTGCTCCATTCATCTATGTGTCTGCTTTCATGCCAATATCATACTGTTTTGATTACTATAGCTCTGTAATGTAGTCTGAAATCAGGAAGCATGATGCCTCCACCTGTGTTCTTCCTCAAAACTGTTTTGGTTCTTCAGGGTCTTTTGTGGTTCCACACAAATGTTAGGAATTAAGTACTTTTTAATGGTCAAAAAATATTTCAACAAGTAGATCTATGGTTATTTAAACATGTCAGTTTCCAGATAAAATGGATTTTTCAAGAGAAATATTGCCATTAAAGTACTTCTTAACAAAAATTTCAAATTGGAAATGTTACTAGACTATGTTTCTAACAGTACCTTAGTTTTTCTTTCCAAAGTAACATTCAGTGATCATTTTAACCTTATTTTCTCTTATGACTTCAATTATTTGACGACAGAAGACAAGAATGTCTGGTTTCCTAAATTCAGATATTTCCTACTTAGAATGCCTAAACTGATGAGTGTCCCTGACTTTTTCTCCACATCTAATCTGTACAAAGGGGAAAAGAAGAATTCCAGTTTGGAGGTTGCCAGATTCCTTTCTCTCTCGTAGTTCCCAGACTCTTGCCTGCCCTTGCTGTAGCAGCTATTGTATTTTTGATCCTTAGTGTTTTTAATATTCCTATGTTTCTGACCTCAGCTTAGCAAAATGACTGAAACTTTGCTTTCTGTTCATTGCTTCTGCTTTACTCAGATCCCCACAGCCCTATTTTAGAGCTTAGCAAAGAACAGTGGAAAGTATAACAGCTTTGAAGTCAGACCTGGATTAGAATCCTGGTTCCATCAACAACTATGAGATCTCAGGCAAATCACTTAAACCCTGTCTATGCTTCAGGTTCCTCAGCTGTAAAGTGTGGCTAACAGTGTCTGCCACAAATGTGCACTGAGTATTAGACTCAGTACTACTCAGGAAAATGTACTGAAAGTGCCCAACACAGCGTGGCACACAGCAAGCCTTCATAAACCTTGGTTACTACTGTTCAATAGTGCATACCATTACTATTATTGCTCACATTTCCTTACCCTAATTTGGAACTGGCATTCTTGATTCCTGACTTGAACCCCAAGATTGCCAGTGCCAGGGAGATGCAGAAGGAGAAGAACAAGTCCCTCCCTGACAAAGAAATCTGCAAATTTGGAAATACCCAACTGGAAAAGGAAGGCAATTACTAATCATGAAGGTTAAAGAGGAAACCCAGCAAGAATCAACTGGGTGTTTGAGATAAGTATGTTGACTTGAATAGAAAACAAAAGAAGTCTCAAAAACATTCCAGTTGAAGTATATAAATACATAGAAATCTGTTACTGGCATTTAAAAAAATGAAATAAAACATAGCTTTTCAGTGGCAATCTAGTTTCCATGAGGAGTTATTTTTCCAGATAGCATAAAATTCGTTTCCTATCTTAAGCTGCACCTGCTAGATTACTAACATTTGTATTATTAAGTCTCCGGACTTAAAGTGCTTTTAATGTGAATTTTCCTCCTACTGCGCCCATCTGTTCTTTTCTTGTGGGCCCAGGGGAAGCCAAGACTTAATAAATATTCAGTTCTCAGACTTCTTTATGATATTTTCATATAAGCATTTATATCCACTGAAGAAAATTATAAGACTGTGTTCAGAAACTTAACTCCACTTGATTTCCCTTTTCTCACTATCCACATGGTCATTATTTTTATGAAAGACTAAGAAGTCACCATACATATAAGAAGTAAAGCCAAGGAAAACAAATAATTATAACTTTAAAAGGTAAATTTGTCAGGGATAGTAAGTGATCTTTGATATCTGATAACACCAAGATATCTTATTTATTCATATAATATTAGACAAATAATTTATGACTTAGCCAATATTAAATTAATGTGGATAGAGCCAGCTCAGGTGGGAGAAGGCATCAGCCGTGGCCTCCTTCACAGGATGCATTTCACCCAGTGATGCTGCTCCTCTGCCCAACCAGGTCAGGGCCATGTGAGCTTGCTTTCCATGACCACCTTCCCTACCATGACAGCAAGCTGGCCGGATGGAAATGATCCATACCTAAGTTCTCCCTGTGTAGTGTCAATATTTCTCTAAATAAACACTCATTTTACTTAAAAAATAAAAAGTTCAAAAACAAGGTAAAACCAGCAAAGAAATGGATGGTTGCTACATTAAAAACACTATAAGCTACAAACATAAATTCAAGACATGTATAAATATTAGCTACAACATGGCTACTTATGAAACTCCCTGGCAGGCAGAGTTCTGGAGGCAGGTGTTACTTATTGGCAGGCTTAGAGCAGACAAAAAAGGAAAAAAACAAACTACCTCAGCAGCTGCAAAGCCGATGCATACTCCTCTGAATCCCGTATGTTCTTTTCTAAACACGTGCAGTACAGCTCTCTGATCTGGAAGTGAACAGCACACTTGTGAGGAATCAAAAGTGATCTCCTAAGTTTGCACACTACGTTTGGAAAAATCATAAATGGTCAAGTCAAAAAAAATAATGTCATTAAAAACAGCCACTTTCTGTAGATGACAACAGACTTGGCATATATCACATGGATCAGGCATTTACATAAAACACCGTTCACATGAAAGCAAAATGAGACCATATTGGGATTGGCTGATATCACCGGTCACTTTGCAATAAGAAAATTATTAAAATGATGATGTGATTACTAAAAAGGTTTAATGGCAGAAAATGTCTTATAAACAAGTCATTCTTACATATTTATATTTGTTCTCTAAACCTTTTGAGTTAAGGATGCAAAGATTTAGGAATACAGAATTCTTCCATTGCATTCACTTGACAGGTGGTTCACAGGTTTATGCTATGACACAAAGGCCAGCAGAGCATAATTTTGCAAGGAGCAAATTCTTAAACTGCCTCCCTTTAGCTCTGGGTGTAATGCAAGGTTAACCATTAAATGGTCTCAAACAGATTCCTTTTTCCATTTCACTAAAGTGGAGGATCAGCTCTCTCAGTATAAGTGACAAAGAAATGTTAAAGAAAACAAGTTTAAATGCCTTAGCACATGTACATTGGAGAGAAAGCAACACCACTTGGATTCATGTGGCTGTTTCTAGTTGTGGCCATCAGACAAAAAATACTGTTTCAGTAACGAGTAAAGTATACAGCTGGAATGGATTTAGATTGCGTACTCACTGCAAGATTTGGATCCATTTCAAATTCTGACGCCTGAATGCTACCAAACTCAAAGCAAAAAACCACGAATATTCCTACTTTGTAGATTCCAAATGAGTAAGTTCTGGTTACCTGTCGACCCAGTGGGTACTTGGGAAGAGAAGAGGTGAACTGATGAAGACATCTCAAAACCAGGAAGTAATTTGTATGGTAAACATGCAGGTTTTCTAGTAATGACTGTGTTTCCTCCTAAAAAAACAAAAAACATCATAGAATACATTACAAATATGTAAGCCAGCAATTAAAAGAATAAAATACTAAAATCTAATTCATGGGTATATATATATATAAAATTTCCAGAAAACTGATGAGAGAAGATTCAGAATTGCAAATTAACCTTAATCCTGAGAATTTTTAATGCACACAAAATCTAGGATAAAGGCTGGATATTTTGTATTTAGTGTCAAGTCTGGCGATATTTCACACACACCAAAATTAATATTGTAATTTAATTTCCTCCTACCTACAGCACTGCCACAATAACTTGGCCCCCAAAATACAAGTGTGCAAAAGAGCGCCCGTGGGATGCCTGCCCATGCTAGTCACCTGGTGTGTACCACAGCAAGGTATGCCCATCACCCTCTACCTCACTGGCATCAGAAGGGTGAGGAGATCACCAGAGCGCCCACTACCAATGTAATTAACGGTTGCTGAGGTTCCACTTAAGATGTATGTATGCTTTTCTTAAAGTCCTGGTAAAGTTGTGTTTGAAAGGGAAGAAGGAGAGACTGTAGAAGAAATACTGCAGGTGTAAACCCCTGCTTTTTGCTGGGAATCTCCAATACTGGTTTAGTCACTTTACCAACTAAGGGGAAAAAAAAGTGAAAAAGAGCAATGTGAAGCCAACAAGCTTTATAATTTAGAATCCAACAAGTATGATATGGGAGATAGTGTCTTAAGAAACCTATGGGATGACTGAGCTCACAAATCAGTTTCAAAAGGTTTTTCTTGGGGGCGGGGGGTGGTTGGAAGTGATTATGTTTTCTAGAACCTTCTGAAATGGTTTAGAAATGATTTTAAAACACTACGTCCTATCAAGCATTTTTCAGGCCTCAAATACTTTTATCACTGCTTATTTCTGTAACATTTTCTTAAGAGGATTATGATCTGTGGCATGGTCTTCAAATTTTTTTCTCCAATGAGAAGTCAAATAAAGGACTTTAACTACTGGGCTGTCTTTTTTTCAGTAATATCTTGCAGATACCCATTATTTTCAGTGGTCAACCATGCAGAAAATAATACCTCAGATATCAATAAATTCAAGCAAATCCAACATATATAAACCAACAAATCTGATATATTTTCCTAAACTCTAACTCAGAAATCAATTCCTTGGTCAGCGATCTATGGACCATTACCTGAAAGCATAGGGCAAATGAAAGAAAAGCTTTTAGTATCAAAATGTTTTCCCACCAGTATCCGAGTTAGTTGGAATTTCAAAAATCTAGGTCTCCTATCATAACAAAGGGTATTTTAACCACCACTGGCAAGGTATACTTTAATTCTATTTTCACTGTAAGCTATGACAGAGACTGCATAAAGCCACTAACTGTTTGCCTTGATGTGTGATTAAACAGCTTTTAAACAGGGGCAATATTCTGGAGAAAAAGGAATCTATTACTGAATAATAACCATACTTCTTGCTGCTTCATGCACTACCTATTACTTTTGCTTTGTGGAGTAACTGTAAATACAAATAACTAGGTGATACAGTAGAAATGAATGCCATCTTCACTGAATTTACTTGTATGTGGAGAGAAAAGAAATACCTGACACAGTATGGGCAATGTCACACGCTCAAGAACTATATGCCCTAGAATAAGTGTGAGAGGAGGGATACGAACATGTTTTCTCCCAGAATGTGGATCACATCCCCGTGCTGAGTGGAATGCTAGCATTTAAAAAACATTTTGTGTGGTTTTGTTCCTATAATATGGCAGACTATTTCATGGGAGGAAATGGAGTTCTGTTTCCAACATTGGAAATAAAACCGGCTACATGGGACTTAATTGAGAGAAGATCTGTGATATCTTTCTAAGAGATTTTCAAGAATAATTCTGACCATCCCAAATCTTTGCTTTATGTGCTGACTTTAGAACCTAATCTCCATATAAGAAAGATTCCACTGTTATTTATATCTGTGTGCTTATCAGCTGCAGCAGAAAACATCACAAATGACTAATTTAACTTTTTCAGGTAACCTGTTCTCTAAGTTCTTTGTCTTGCTGAGATACCTATCTGCAAATGCCTTTATCTAGGCAGGGCAACAATCCTGATGCACTTTAGGAACACTTTTTCATAAACTTAAGTCTGGTTTTAATGTATGAGAAAATTTCCCACTTAATAAACACATTACAGCAGCATCACAGTATGCTCATGCAAAAGCAAAGCCTGTTGAAACAGTACTCCTGTTTTCCAAGCATTAAAGTTTTCCTCGGGCATCCTTTCTGTACCGTAGTCATAGGTGCCACTGTTTTATTTCACAGTTGTGTTTAGGATGGTCCTTTTCAACAGAGATACACTGCCTAGAAATATTTATTATTTCCCAAAGAGATATGTTTTCTTCTGTTCTTGAAACATGAAGACCTCTTGGTCTCTACTGATCTTTGAGACAGATACAGGAACAGTGTGCTGTAAGAAAAACAGAGCAGAAACAACCTCCTTGCTCTTCCTTAAACGTTCCAGACATGCTCCAACCTCAGGTCTTTTCCACTTACTGTTGCTCTGCTTGGGACTCTCTTCCTACAGATTCTTGCGTGGCAAGCTCTACAAGTTCCCTTTATTAAAGTCACCTTCTTGGTGAGGCTCTTATTTAAAATTTCAATCCCACTCCCCATGCACACCGTCCATATTCCCTTCCTTTCACTGTTTTCACCTTAGCAATTATCACTAACATAGATATTTTATCTACTCATCTTGGTAACAGATAAGCTCCACGAAGGCAGGGGGTTTTGACTGTTTTGTTCAGTCCTGTACTAGGTTAATACCTGGCATACAGTAGTCACTCAAAAAATACTTGTTGAATGAGGAAGTGCATGAATGAATGGAGGCCAACACGCAGTCTCTCTCCTAAATAAAAGCAACAGCTTTTGTCTTGCTGGGTGTGGGCCAGACTTAACTAATTTTTCAAAAGAAGACAAAAGTCTGAATTTGTGATGTAAAATATCTCAATTTGTAAATGTTGCCTCAGATTAAAAACAAAAACCACTATGGACCTAAAAAATCACATTTATAGCAGGCTGTCAGTTGCCAGTCAACGTGTAATACACCCTTTTAAATCAGCCATCTCCAATCACTTCAATTCTGTCATTCATTCAAAAATCATTCATGTATTATTGTTTACTTACATGACAAGGCCTCTATCATTACTGATCTAGTTACTTTTTTTTGGAGAAGCCAATGACTATGTAAAACTTAAATATATATATATATAGGTAAAGAAAACTTGAGTAGAATTACATTTGCCATGATGCTTAGTTTCGGCATTTATTTCTCTTCTTATTTCCATAGTATTTATCACTTTCGTGTCTAGAATGGTATGCATGGGGTGAAGAGTGATCTCAAGAAGATTACACGGAAGTATGTAAAAGTGACTAAATTTCTGCAATTTATTCCTTTCAGATCATGAAAAGCTGGTAAGACAAACATTGAATTTCTGGATGAAAACGCATCAGCTGTCCAAGAACACAGCATTTTCTTATTTATCATCTTGATAGAACTAAGTGTTATTTTTCTCATTAGAGAGAAATTTTGGCTGACAGTGTTTCCCAGATCACATGGCAGCTACCTAGAGAACAGCAAACCACCATTTTCTCCTAGCTCATGAGTGGCCTGAGTGCCAGTCCTCTCATCTGTCTCAGGCTTTTGTCCTGCATACTCTTACCCCGGCATTTACATCAGAAGCACGTGATGAAGGGTTTGGATTTAAAGTGTCAATTCCTCACACACTACCAGGCTAACGCCTAGCTTGTTTGATCACGTTTGGTAGTTTGTTTGCAGTGGTTTTCTTTTTTCCTTCTCTTTTCCTTTTATTATTAATAAATCTATTATTAATAGATTCCCCCTTCCTTCTGCCCTTTGGTTCTGCCAAAAGAAACAGAAAGAAGAGGCATGGGCAAAGGTGAAAGGCAGGTCTGCAACAAACGCATAAGCATGCTAAATGGTGACCAGAAATCCTTGCCCTACCACTAACTTGCTCTGTGATTTCAGATATTTCACTTCCTTTCTCTTGGCTGCAGTTCCTCACTTGTAAAATCAGCATGCTGAATCAGATTATCTTTGTAATAGTAATATATTACAACTCTAAGATGTTCTCTTACTTCCCACTCTCAATGGAGTTAAAATCTAGTTGGGCACATAGGCATAGTGGCATGAAACATTAAAAGTCAGAATAATAAAACTTCAACTGTCACCTGCAAGAGACTGAATCTAAGTTTTCTACATACCATGAAGTTTAACCCTTTAAGGGCTGAGAACATGCCACATAGTTTTAAGTAAGAGTTGAATAAAAATACATAAATTGATTTTCTTAGATGAAGTACTTGGAATTAGTCACTCATTAAATATACTGAGGATAATATAATTTCTTGGCAAGACAGGACCAACATGAATAGCAGTTCATTACTAGTAATATAGAATGTGGTCGGTATAGAGAGCACAAGATTAAAATGGGCCTAATCTTAGATATGGTATTGGGACAATGCATAAAAACCACTAATTGGGAAAAGCTGTTAATATTCCCCCCCCCCCCCGCTCCCCAACGCAAAACATTTGCTCATGGAAAGGAAGAGAATTTTTCACTATTAAAAATATTTCCAGGGACTTCCCTGGTGGTCCAGTGGTTAAGACTCCACGCTCCCAATGCAGGGGACCCAGGTTCACCCCTGGTCAGGGAACTAGATCCCACATGCCACAACTAAAAGATCCCGCATGCTGCAACTAAGACCTGGCACAGCCAAAAAAAAAAAATCTTTCCAGTATTTCAAGAACTAGGGTTTTTTTAATTATAGGATAATGATAACAGTTACGGAAATGTGATATGACGCCAAAATCTTCTTCAAAGCTCTCCTTAACACCTAACTTGAAACAAAATTTCAGGCACAAGCAAGAGTAAAAATTGTATCTCTGTAATTATGGTGAATGTGAAAGTCCTGTTTAAGGCACTTTTGACAGCTCAATTTCTCATGAAA